GCTCCGTCCGGTCCCCCTCCTGGCCCGGGGAGGCTCCGTCCGGTCCCCCTCCGGCCCGGGGAGGCTCTGTCCGCCCCTCCGGCCCGGGGAGGCTCTGTCCGCCCCTCCTGGGGGGCCCTCTGCAGGGCTCCCCAGCCCCAGGCGCACCCAGCAGGTCAGGCCTGGCCCAGCTGTGCTGAGGGGGTACCAGGGCCCCCAGGCGTGCGGGCGGGGGCACCCTTCAGCCTGTGATGCCCGCCCAGCCACACGCACAAGTCTCATGGCCAGAGGCGTCTCTGAGATGCCAGGGCAGGCTGGCATCAGACGCAGCCTCTGGGCTGGGAGCCAGCTGTGGCGCCCACTGACTCGGCCCCCAGAGGCTCAGTGCTCAGGGCCCCGGTGGCACCTCCTGTGGCTGGACGGCAGCCAGGGAGGAGGGGAGGGAGGGCCCCCCCGAGTGACGGGCCCCCCCCGAGTGACGGCACAAAGCGGGTCCCCGGCCACGCAAGCGTCTGTCCTTTCTCGGGACGAAGGCGCATCCGAACCGTCGACCGCAGGTCCGAAAGGTGCCGCGTCCAGGGAAAGTCCCCGCTCCCTGCCTGCCTGGGGGGCCCGGGGGCCGGGGGTGTCTGGGCGGGCGAGGCCCGAAAGGCGCCTGAGGACGAACGGACCCCAGAAGGGACAGGCCCTGCCGAGCGGCCACGTCTCAGCGCCCCGGAGACGGGTCGATTTCTGGAAATGGACCCCTGGACGCTTGCTGGAGCCGAAATGCTGAGTAATTGGGGACTTAAAAACATGCGCTTTGGGGCCCTCCCGGGGGCGCAGCGGGTCAAAGCGCAGCCCTGCAAGGCGAGTTCGATCCCCCGGCCCGGAGGGGACCCCCAGGGCCCGGCAGGCCCCTCCTGGCTCCCCGCTGCTCCCCTCGGCTGTGGACTTCGTCCATCGGCCTGTCCTGCCCCCCGCTCTGTCTCTGGGGAAGCCTCTCCCCGCCCCTGCGCCTCTGGCCTGCACCCCGGTTCTGTGTGCATCAAAAGTAAATCTAGGAAAAAGGCTGAAAACTGCAGCTACCCTGGGGCTCCCTGGGGGTCTCGGGTGAGTTTCAGGCTGTCACCGCGTGGCCTGAGTGCAGTCTCCAGCCAGGGAGGGACCCCCAGGGCGCAGTGGACCCCTCCTGGCTCCCCGAGGCTCCCCTCAGCAGTGCACTCGCCTGTCCTGCTCCCCGCTCTGTCTCTGGGGAGTCCCCTCACCCCTGCGCCTCTGGCCCGCACCCCAGTTCTGTGTGCATCCAAAATACATCCTAAAACAGACTTAAAACACGTACTTTGTGGGTGCAGCTAAGTGGGGGGTGAACATCGTCTTCTTCCACCAGCTTCCTCTTAACGTACGTGATCTTGGATGTGGCCAGAGGGGTTGAGACACCCCTGTACTGGGGCCCTGCGGGAACAAATCAGCAGGACGGCTGCCCCGTGGCCTGGGGACACCCGCCGGGGGGAACTGCCCTGTCCTCCGGGAGACGCCGCTCCTGGCCTGGCCAGCTCTGGCTGCACCCTCGCCTGACCTTCACGCGCCGGCAGACGGCGGAGGGGCGGGACCGGTGGACAGACCACCGGGCCGGAGGGGACCCCCAGGGCGCCTCGGCCCCTCCTGTCTCCCCGCTGCTCCCCGCAGCCTGGGCTTCGTCCATCGGCCTGTCCTGCTCCCCGCTGTCTCTGGGGAGTCCGCTCACCCCTGCGGCTCTGGCCTGCGCCCCAGCTCTGTATGGATAATAAATCTTTTTTAAAAAAAGAAATGCACCTGTCAGTTACTTTTTGGAAACTTTAACCCTTCAGTGACAGGTCACCACAATTCCCTTCGCTCCCCCAAACCGTGGCAACCGCGATGAAAAGTCGGGGCTACTTCTCACAGGCCGCAGCCACCGTAACCAGGGCCGGCCGTGGCCGGGGGGTCCTCTGCCCGGTGACCCCGCAGAATGCGGAGGGCCTCAATGCAGAGGGGGGAAATAATGAGGAAGGACGGGGGTGAGTTCCCCGGGCCCCGGCCGTGCCAGCCGAGGGCCCCGCGTCTCGGGAAGGGCTGCCCTGTCGGGCCCGCAGGCCTGGGCGCCCCGAGAGAACCCCCGGGCTGCAGCCCCAACCCGGCTGGCAGACAGGGAGCCCGACGGGGGGTCCCCAGACACCGCC